TGTAGCTGTTTTTGTTTCGTTTATATATATATATATATATATATATATATATATATATATATATAATTTTCTTGTACTTTTCAATTTGTATGCTTTTTATGATTGTCTACTGTTGTACTGATAAATTTCTCCTGAAAGGTAAACTATATCTTGACTGCAAGTATCAAGCTGCAAAAGCCTTTGTTTTCTACAACTGAGAGCGGTTGGTCATTAATTACGATGAAGTTTAGCAACTTCACGGTAAACATACGCTGTTCTTCTCGTTCAGTCCAGAGAAGGCAGTCTGATTTTGGTCAGCCGCGCTCAGTCTGCTCCTCCTCCGAGATGGGCAGACTGAGCGCAGCTGACCGAAATCAGACTGCCTTCTCCGGACTGAACGAGAAGAACAGACCGCTGAAGCCCCGAAGCTCGAATGTCCAACATAAAACTAACTTTACTGCGGATTAATGTGGTGCTATGGCTCTGCAGACATTGCACATTGCTATCTTGCTTTGTGGAGTTTCTAGTGAAAAATACTTCCACACAGCGGACATGTTTAGATGAAAAGTTGGTTAGCTGTTAGCCACAGTGCTGCTCACTCAGTCCTCACGTTGTAGCTGGCTGCATGGATTTCCTGAATGTGAGGTGTATCTTATTACTCTGGGCTCATAAGACACACCTCCGTTCAGGAAATCCGTTCCATAGTTTGAAGCCAACATGCAGAGCAGCTGGCAGGCATGAGCTTTGTTCACATGTGGAGATGTTTTACTTGGAGACACAGAGACATACACCATGGATCTGAAATCTCTGCAGGTTGGATCGGAAAAATCCGATACGTAAATTATGCTGGTATCGGAGCCCGATACGATACTGGATTGGATCGGATCGGCCCCATCCCTAGCTATTTCGTTAAATTTCAAATGAATGGACAGCGAGTCGCCCTCTGCGCGCTCATGTTTCCACGTATCGGCTTTTGAAAATGCAGCTGATTTAACTGTCAAAGTGCATTTATTAAGCAAAAGTTAGACCGAGACACAGCTTTACTATAAATTTGAACAAACAAATAATTATTTTACGTGCTAATCTTGTTAAATTCTTGTTAAAGTCCTTCCGTGCATGCTCCTGCGGCCGCCATTTGACAGCCCATCAATTTTTGGCACACTGGCCTACATTTCCGGGTTGTCAGCGATGACGCATAATAGATGGGACTTATATGGCAAAGCTACATATTTATGAAATTTTCCACTTTATTAGACCAATTTGGACTGATGCAACTTACAGGGCGGTGTGACGTGTAAGGTGGAAAATACGGTAAATGCACAACATCGCTAAAACCCGTGCATCTTTTGCATCAGCTCAGTTTCTTATCCCGCAAACAGAAAAGTAGGGTGACCTTCTTGTTTTTTTGGCACACAAACAAAGTCGTTTGACAATGACTCTTTTGCTTGCAAGAGTATTAAATTTAGCATGACAGGGACACCTTCGTGTTTGCTTCAACAACAACCAAAAATCTTTGACCTCCATTTTCGGGGCAATATTGCAGAATGGGGCAATTTATCAACAGCCAAAAAAATCTTGCACCCTAATTAATTACAACTAAGTAAAGAATGTTTGTAGAGCCAAATTGCTTTAATTCCCCAAACACAGGCTGAAAGTCATTCATTATCAAATGTGTGCTCAAAGGTTAGTTTGCTTTTGTAAAAGACGAGATGAGCATTAATTTCGGAGAGTTTCCCCCGGTGGGGAGGCGAACTAGCGGTTTGTCAAGAAGCCGCGCATCACGGGTGGCATGTTCATTGTCCGTTTGTCACACGGGTCTTGGTGCTTTTTGTGTGGTTCACCCTGAGAGCACCCTCACCTTTAAATAAATGTTTAATTCACTGAATGAAGTTTTATTTATATATATATAAAAGGAAAAACAAGCAGGGAAAAGAAAATGTGCCACTGACCCAAGGGCTTGGAGCCTTTTGAGGCCTCGATTAAAGGGCCCAGCAGGGCACGAGTTTAAAGAGCAGTCTCTGAATGAAGATGTGTAAAAACTTCCTCTGAAAAGCCCAAGGGAAACCACTCAGATGACTCAACTCTGCAGAATCAAAACAGATGGAGTCCGACTACTTTCAGGAAAAATACCAAAACTCCTCTATTGACATAGTGGACAATTGGCCAAATCAAGGCCATCTCCTCATTTATTTCTCCAAATGCGCAAAAAAAGTTCAGAGCTCCTCCTTTTGCTATTCACCGATTCACCCACAGCCCACGCCATTTGAATTTTAAGCAGTTTGACTGAACAAGAATAAGAAGCACTTGAGATGAAAATCCATCTCTCGAAAGGGAATTCATCAAAGAAATTACTTCCCATATCAACAATAGAAATTACCTCACAATATGCAATTGTCCTTTCCACATATTCAGGGAACCCTTTGGTGTTTTTATGGGGTAAGAGGGACTATTTAGCAGGTAATACAGAATTAATGTGGAGGAGAAGAAGAGAGGAAAAAAGCACTTTTAATGGAAGTACTGACTTGCCTCTGAATTTCGATGATGTGCACAATGCCCTTAAATCCCTTTCTTATTTGAGGCACTTTTGAGCCCAAATAGGATAAAGCAGAGGACACAAAAGATTTCTATCTCTCAACTCTTTCAGATCACTGAGAATCCCAATCTTTGGCAACGAGCGCTTCATGAATCATTCATTTTTAATAGATTATGCAAATTCCACGACATAAAATCAACAAGATCAATAAGTGCAGGCGTTTTAATTGGTTGAAAAACAGGCTGAGGGTGAACGTGTTCTCCGGTTCTTCCCACCATAAAGATGCAATTAATTTGGAATTGGATCGCGGCCTAAATACAGCAGATAATTTACCACTTTTTGCACGGCTTAAAATTCCTCTAGTAAGCTTATCGCTGGCAAGTAAACTGTAATACTCAGCCATTAGGGAGACCACACACCTGAATATCACATATTATCCACACAGGCAGCCACTGAGGGAAAACCAAGCAGAGGAGCCACAAACCAAATAGTAATTATCAAGCGAGTCTGAGTTGATGTTTGTTCCATTAGTTTGACCTTTGTATACTTTATTTCTTTGCCTCTTGTAAACGTAGAAAGGTGTGGAATGAACTACTAAAGCAGGTCTTGTGTTGCTCCTGTTCAAACACACACTGATATGATCACAGAGCCTATGGAGTGCCATTTGTAAAGTTACACAGTCAAAAATTAACAGCAATATTTTGGTTTATTTAGCCTTTCATAAGAAAAAAGTCTTTTTTTCAATATCATATTTTCACCATGTTATTCATACATTTATAAATGTCATAGTTCCAAACTAAATATTTAATTTACAAGCAAAATATTTAGTTTACAAACTACATACTTAACTTGCAAGTTAAATATTTAGTTATCAAACTAAATATTTAGTTTACAAACTACATACTTAACTTGCATGCTAAATATTTAGCTAGCAAGTTAAATATTTGTTCGACCTAAATATTTAGTTAGAAAATTAAATATTTAGTTTAAGAATGAAATGTTTAGCTTAGAAAATAAATGTTTAGTTTGGAAATTAAATATTTAGCTTGGACAATAAATATTAAGTTTGGAAATTAAATGATTAGTTTTGAAAATAAACTTTTGTAACTTGCAAGTTAAATATTTAGTTTGTAAATTAAAAATGTATCTTGGACGTAAACATTTAGTTTGTAAACTAAATATTTAGCGTAGAGCTAAATATTTAGCTTGCTACCTGAATGTTTAACTTGCAAGTGAAGTATTTAGTTTGTAAACTAAATATTTAGCTTGTACATTAAATATTTAGTTAGGAACTATGATATTTATTAATTTATGAATAACGTGGTGAAAATATGACTTTGGACATTTTTTTTCTTATGTAAGGCTAAATAAACCAAAATATTGCTGTTAGTTTTTGACTGTAACTTTACAAACAGCACCCTGTAAGGGCCTGCGTTTTATTTTATATTTTGTATTAATTTGCACCTGTGCTAGAGTAAGGGGAGCCTTCCTGCAGAGACCATCTAAAGTATCCCAGGTGCAAACAGAGCTGGCCTGCTTTCTGCTCAGGCCCTCCATACACAAAGAACAAACACACACACCTTTCTTCTCAGGAGGCCTGCCTTACAGGGGGAAATCTACCTCCCACATATTAATGAGAAAAGGGCTCTTTCTTTTCTCATAAGACTGCATGGCTATCATTTGAGAAGAAGGGCTGCAGCAATTTTCAATCACCTCATCCCCCCCACCCCATCCCCCATGCAGAACTCATTGCCTTTGATGGCTGCTGCATAATTATATGAATTTTAATAAAAGCTTTGTATATTAATCTCAGGCACCCGACAGTCATCGTAAACTTTCAGTAAACTTCACCTTCTTCTTGGTAATAACGCAGCAACAACAAAGCAATATTTCAATTAGCCAGAGGGTCATTAACTGTGACAAGGAGAGGAGACAACTCTGGGGGTGGGGGGAGACAGAGCAAGGGAGCTATAGGAGGGTGAAATAAATGATCATGGCGTTAGAGTTAGGCGGCAGAAATGCCAGAGCGTATTTACCGGAGCACATTACTCGTGCTTTCAGCCACACAAACTGTCTCCTGGTGGACAAATCGCAGGAGCAGTGCAGCAGCAGCCAGCTCTGCAAGGTAGACTTTTTTTTTATTTTCCCTCCCCAAGACCTTGCCCTGATACACAGTCATAGTTCTGATGTGCTGACACCTAAAGGTCCTTGTCCAGCGGTGACTGAACAGCTCCCAATCTTTTTTAATGCCCTGTCTGCTCAGCAGAAACCAGACTGAAGACAGCTGCTCAGCTTTCACCGCGCCACTGTAACATCTTTCCAACTCCGAGTAAAAGTCTTCACACTTCTCTTTTTGGGTTGCCTTTATTGTCACACATTTATTTGAGCACTCTTTAGCATCGCTTGTTTACATTGTTCAACCACCCTCCGCTCGGCTAAAGCTGTGGCTTGGCAGCGCAAAGGCAAACTGGATGGCACATGATCTTACCTACAGGGTAGCTTTGCGACACGCTGGGGCCCAAGTCTGGGTTGGCGCTAGAGGATAAACTGGGCTTGACTTCATCCAGGCTGGAATTCAGGACAGGCAGCGAGTACTCATTAGCCTGGGAAAAGGACAGTTGAATGATTACACAACCAAACAATACCAAGATGGAAATCCTTCTTTTTCTCCTCCTCCATTAAGCACTCCACACATGCCTGGGTGGGTATAAATTTGGATGAGAGCATTGTGTGTGTGCGTCTGTGTGTGTATGCGATGGAGGGTGGCAGTTCAAGCATATCATGAATGTATTTTGGTATTGTTTGAGAGGAAGTGGGATTTTGAGATGAGTGAAAAGCCAAGGCGTCAGCTGGCCCTTTGTGCTTCGCTGCAGTCCTACTCCTGATCAGCCAAGGGAGAAAGCAGTTCTGCTTTGTTGCAGACACACCATGTGGTCCTGTTTCAGAAACACATTTTTTGCGTTTTGCTCATTTGGTGTGTCGACCACCTTTAGATTTTAGCTGCTCTTATCTCTTTATTGAACGACACGTACAGGTTTGGCTTTTTCTCCCCTTTGCTGTAAAACATTGCTCGAGTTTTCAGCCACAAAAACAACAAAACATTTAATCTTTTACTTAGGATTTGCACCTTTTTCCTCAACTGAAACTACATTTTAGTGGCGGTTATTTTGAGTTAAAACTTTAACAATCCCTTAAGAATGGATGAGCGTTAAAAAACTATCCCCCTCCATTTATAAAGGTGGAATCTCAAAATTCAAAGTCGGATAAATTTAAAACAGTAAAACAAACAAATTAAGTCCTTTTGTGGACCATTTAGTTTAAATTAAAACAAGTTCTCTTTCATAGAAATAATCTCTTTTTGTAAATATGCCCCAAAGACACAAGTGACAGATGTTAGCACGTTTTTTTTTTTTTTTTTTTTTTAATGAGATGAGACTTCCGGAGTCTGTGTTGACAATGTTTATCCAAAGCCCAGTGTGAGTGGTTCAGTGGGCCGCTCTCCCACGGGGGGGACGCCTGTGACCCTGCTCTTGTCTGTCACTATCACAGATAAACTCTAATTGTCTGCTACAACTGTTCACTGGCACAATGTCGGATGTTTTCCTCTTTTTCTCGCTGGCCTCAGACGCCAAACAGGCGTTTTATCATGCAGATAAAGGGCAGGAGGGAGAAAACTGAAAAGATAGGTCTGAAAAGGATGACCAAATGGCTGGCAGAAGTGTGGGAGGGGTGAATCCATTGAGTTTTGCATCTCCAGAATGGGTTTTTAATGCCTCGCTACAGAACCCAGACACTGGCTAATAGGGCCACATTTTCCTGAACGGAAAAAAACCCACAAGGCACCCATAAAGGAGAAAGTGCTCTGATTAATATTGCAGTAAATTAAAGTTGATTTTTCTAGACTGTTTCTAGCCTCCATTTATTATTTTTTTGTTTAATTTCTCACTCACTCGCTCCTTTTTCTAGTCTAACCCCACACCACCGCCACAACCTTTTAATACTCTCCCTGACGCTTTTTGTGATTGCAAGTCATTTCCAATTCGTTTTGGTATTGATCTTCCAGTAGAAATCAGTTTTGTAATTAGCTGCAAATTAGGCCTTCTTCTGGAGGTGAGGCCTGTCCCACTGATTTATCACCTGCGTAATTCGCCCCGATCGGAGAGGAATTAAAATGAACTCAATTAGGCGACTGCTTTTGCTTTATGGGTTTGACTTGTAGTTTGGTGCGAGAAATTAATAGTCTCTCGTTGTTTTATAGTATAGTGAAAGTACTGTAAATAAAGGTTATCCATTGTAATAAGTCCAGAGCTTTTAATAAAATGTTGTTTTTTGCGTGTTGGGGGTGGTGGGTTTGCAGTTTTCTGAACGCGTCTTAATCTATTCGACTTTGTTTGTCGCGAAATGAGCGTGACGTAAACCACAAAAGAAACGGCAGGTGAATAACGCTGCAAAAAATATTGAGATATTGATTGATTTTATGTTTCTTTACTGTTTTTCTCAATTACAGCAGGTACAAGGAATGTGTTTTTCATTAAAAGATCAATAATGTGTGGGAGTTTTTCTCGTGATCCCTCCAGTATAATCCCGGCTCTGGCTGTAGCCCACTGTTTAGCCAGTTTAGGACATTTGTTTAATTAGCCTTTTGCTTCTGGAGATGGTCTGGGGACATCTGTGTGTGTTTCTGTTCAGCTTGACAAAAGGAAAGCAGAGTTGTAACACCACTAACCTGCTCTGGTTTGATGTGTTCCGATGTGGGGAAGACGTCGGGGTACGAGGGGCGCTCAAAGACCCGGTCCAAAGCTTCCAGCTGCTGCTGGGTGAAGGCATCTGCCCTCAGGTGTTTCCGTAAACTCTCCACGCTACCCTGAGAATCACTGTTTGGGCCAGAACCATCTGAACCATCTATAAGAAGAAAGAGCAACATTCGAGACACTGACCCCGGGAAGCTGGCCTTCACTTCAAGCTATGCACTTTATATTCCCCTCATGTATGTTCTGAGATCAGAATGGGATAGAGTTCAGTTTAATGGCTGAAGTGAGCCACTGGCTACCTCAAACATGGTTTCCCATGCTCAGAATTAGTGCCATGATGATCTAAAAGCCCTCTGGTAATTGATGGATTACAGTCACTTGCAAAGATATACATGTTGCAGGCAGAGTGTAATAAATGCAGCAGCTAGCCCATTATAGTAGATACATAGGTAGTATGGGTTTTTCATTCCAAACAGACTTTTTTCCTTTATTCCCCCTTCTCCTCAAAAGCATGATGTTCACTGGAATCAAGTGCTTTTTAAAGCACAATTTCCCTTTTACAATTCAATACAGCTTTTATTCTCTTGGAGCGTATGGTTCCATTTGGTAGCAGCGGCGGAGGACAAGATGCTGAATAAAATTGTAAAGTCTAGTTCAATCATCCCTTTCTCCAAACACAGGAATTTTCTCCCGACTCCTGACCTGATTACTTGACTGTTGAGAGGAGGATGCCTTTTCTTTTCCTGCTGTGTGCAAAGCTTTAAAACCTTTACAGACCCATCCCTCCATGGCTCAACCCCCCCACACCTATCATGGCTGCAGTGGCTGTGTCTGCAGGTCTCCTCCCAGGATCCCAGAGAGCTGCAGCTCTCTTACAAATCTGTCATTCTAAATTTGCGGCAGATTATGTTCTTCCCTCAGAGGGAGAGTGGTGATATATGATATGCAAGGCCCACTATTGATTGCCTGATCTGGTGGCAAGAGGGAGCTGAAATGAACTTGAAATGAACATCATGCCTCAACTCATTGTGCGTATAATACTCTACTTAATCCCACATTTTTCTCTGCCATAGAATTCAATTGATCAATCATGTCTGTGTGATAGTACCATTTGGGAGGGTTAGTACCAGTCTATTCTGCTGCTTGACCTTTTTGCACATGCTGAGGCCAGAGGATGAAGCACATTGTCCAAAGGAGCTTAAAGACAGAATGTGAGTAGGAGTCACTGGTGTAGTCTATGGGATACGCAGGAATACGGAATGTACCCATTAGAAAAGCTTGGGAATTCCAGTACACCCACTTAAAAGTGCCCAATGATACATGCCACATCACTGGGCATGTGTCATTGTCAGTACATTTGAAACATTTTATAGAAACATTGAGTTGGTTCAACCTGTTTTTTTGTATAATTAATACTTCTTGCTACTTAATACTTGAACATGTTTTGCTTTGATACTGTTTTATCAATTCTTTAACATGTTTTTAATACCAATGCCAATTGTACAAAGTACATTTATTCAAATATAAGCATCAGAGACATTTTGAAATGTTCAATATGCTTAAAAATCTAAATAAATTGACAATTGCATTGCACTAACCGGTGTACTTCAGTTTCTAAGCACAGTATACCCAGTACAAAAATGTAGACACTGGTAGGAGTTCATGTATTTCAGAGCATTAATGGGCTGAAAACTGCAAAATAAGGATGTTATGAGTTCAACAATATTCCAAGAAACGCAGTGTTTTGTATATAAAAATAAAAAAATACTGTTTAATTTTAAGCTGAGTAGATTTAGTTGGTTTTTGGCCAGTACTTGCTATACATTACTGTCATTTTGTTATACATTACTAAAATACAATACACACTAAGCTAATAAAAATTGAAAACCATTGCATTGCCAGCTTTAAGGCCTGAAAAGTTAATCTAAAATGCTGAAACTGTCCAGACAAGTGCAATAAAGCATATTTTGTTTCTGTAAGTGCTTTAGAATGATGCTTTTTTTTAGTATAATGACAAAACTGTTTAGCATTTTTACAGTTAATGGCAGAAGAGGAAGAGAGATGGCAATGTGTTGTGAAGCAAAAAACTTTTTGCAAGACTAAAATGTATTCTGAAGTGTTTCCTGTAGACAAAAAGAATTAAACGTATATTTTCTCATCGCCAGTTTCCTAAATCACAGGAATTTATAACATTTAATAACATTTCTTTTTTTTTTCCCAAAAAAATCTGAAATATTTGTTTCTCTTAAACGTTATATTAATTAAATTTATGGTTATCTTTAATCACAATGTTGCCAACAAAAGTGTTTCATGTTTACAGGACTTAACCTGTGTGAGCATTTTATTAACCAGATTCTCAGTCTTTTAGGACATGGTAATCTCCAAAAACTGAAATGAAATCAGATGAATAACAAGATGCTCAACAGCAATACTTTTTTAATTTTTTTTTTATAATTTTGAATCTTCTAGTTTTTATATGAGAAGTCTTCTGGGATGAGAAGCAAAACATGTTCAAGAATTTATAAGAGAGTTCTGGTTACCGTATTTTTCAGACTATAAGGCACACCGGATTATAAGGTGCATTAAGCGAAACAAAACAGTCAGTCAAACTTTATTCAACTCATTCACAATAACCACATAAAATCGGTTTGAGTACAGTAATCACAACCAGAATTAATACCTAAGGCGCACTGTCAATTTTTGAGAAAAGTTAAAGGATTTTAAGTGCACCTTAAAGTCAGAAAATTACGGTAATGTTGATTTAATGCGTTAGAACGTATTTTATCTGCATTTATTTGATATTTCAGTTCCCAAAAATAAAAAATGAAATTTGTTATAATAATAAAGGTACATTAATTGGCAGTTATCTGCCAGAAATCTTAAATGGAAAATTTCTAATGACTAAATCTGTCAGTCTGCATCTTTCAGAAAAATTTATGTGCATGTGCGTGGTTCTTTTTAAAAAAACAGACAGCAAACGTTTTGTCTTGGACAGTACTTTTCAGGCCCTGGTTTATCTCGTTGTGAAATCAGTTTTATTCAATTTACTTTTCGTTTGTTGTTTTAGTCCCAAAATAAACTGATTGGTAAAAATCAAAGAAAATAATAATAATAATTTTGTGGTGTAAAATATAGCCTTTCCAGTTTCTACATGTTTCTCACAAGCGTTTTCTGTCAAAGGTGAAATGATCAAGTTGGAATTATTAACTTTTTTCCTAAAGTATGAAATGTTTTACATTAATGATTGAACTGAGAACAGAAAACTAAGAAATGAAAGACCTTGTGGAGAAAAACCAAGTTTTCTTGAAATATTTTTGTCTTATTTCAGACTTAAAATTGTACCGTATTTGTCAGACTATAAGTTGCACTTAAAATCTTTTAATTTTCTCAAAAATTGACAGTGAGCTTTATAATCATGTGCCCCTATGTATTAATTCTGTTTGTGCTTACTGACCTCAAACAAATTTTATGTGGTCATTGTGAATGAGTTGAATAAAGTTTGACTTATATGACTGTTTTGTTTTGCTTAATGCGCCTTACAGTCTGAAAAATATGGGAATAAAAAAAAACAACTTAAATGTCTAATCTGCATAGAAAAGTTACGTAAAAGCCCAATATGTCGTGAAGATAGCTTAAAGAGACAGTTCACATTTTTTTAATGCGCGTTTTTGTAGATAGGTATTCAATAATAAACATCTTACCCATCAGATAGTTCTTTAGAAAACTTTAGTTTGTAGAAAAGGAGTCAAGTTTTGGTTTCACTGACTCATGATCTAAGTGCGGCCAAGACCAAAATGAATTATTTTCTTCTTAAAATAATATGGAAGCTTCATGCAAAGGACATCATGTTGCTGTCAGGTTTGTATTACACAATAATTTATTTGGAGTTCTATAATTATTTTGCAGGCACAACTAGTGGCAGCAGCAGCTAGCTGTAGCACTGGAGTAGCAGTTTAATTCAAACTTACAGCAATGTAAATGCTCATAAAATGAATGGCTTGAATGGCTCTAAAAGTTTTGAGTTAAGTTGTTTTAAGATGGCACCAATTGACTCTTCTTTTTTTTTTTGTTGGGGGGGGGGGGGGGGACTTGGTCTTACTAGCAGATGACCTATTGATCCAGACAAAATTTCACTCTGCTTTTTAAGTTAAAGCCTTGTCTACATGTGAACAATTTCTAGAAACGTTAGCTTTTGTTGTTGTTGTTTATAAATGAACTTGTGGAAAAGTTACACGTACACGCGGTTTCACTGTGATGGTTGAATCTGCTCTAGTTCCAATGCCATGTTGTATTTAAACAACATGCGCACAGACACCAGAGTCGAACATGAAAGCATCCAAAATGGCGAATACACGAACGTTCATTTTGATTTAGGACGAGGACGAGTCACTTCCACATGTTGAAACCAGCGATCAGCACAAACAGCACTCTTCTATGCCCCATTGTTACTGATCATCTACTTACGCGAGCGCAGAAAAACTATTGATTGCAGCTGACCGTAGTGAGCACGTGCGGTTTCCCACTGATGCCAGGCATTTGCCTTTAACACGGTGTGATTTGTTTTGGTCTGGTCTGTTCTCTACTCTGTTGGCCATTTTAGTTAGCTTCTGCTGCTATTTGTATCTGTATTTCTATTTTATGTTTTCCTGTCCGCTGTGCATGTTTGTGTTCTTTTGTACAGCACTTTGGTTGGCCTTGTTGCTGTTTTAAGTGCTATATAAATAAATTGGTATGGTATGGTATGGTATTTCTAAAAACCTCCGAGACCTGGATTCAAACATTTAGGTCTCAGAGAAAACAACCGCTGCATCCACGGACTTCGGAAAGAAATTAGAAATTTTATGGTTACACTTAAAACGGTTTAGTGTGAACAGGTAAGATATTTTCTACATAAGCTTTTAAAGACATAGATGAGCAATTGCCTTTAAAATGTTGCTGCTAGCTAAGAAACAAACACGTCTGACTTTTCCTCTGATTGTCACTGTGCTGTGAATATTCAGCATATTTTCTGCACAGCCACAAACATCTCCTTTCCTCTGCTGCTGCTATGTGTCACTTCATCAAACTCAGTTGTTCTCTTTGCTACCAAAGCAAATAGAGTCATTAATTACTCTCTAACAGCGAGCCTGAGCCACTGCACCTGATCAATAC